AATGCCTCATCCGGACGGGGACACCTCTCCTTGTCAAGACTACATAGACCGGGTCGTAGCACCTAAATTCGATCCTTTTGCGACCACCGCTAGTGGTGCTGATGATCAGGAGTTCGATCATAACGGCACAACCAATATTGACCACAGTAGTGCCCACACTACCACATCTTGGTCCCTCCCTGGGATTAGCCCGGACAGGACCTTCAGCGGTCCCGACACGTCGAATCCCCTTGTGCTACCCTTTGGCACTATTCACGATTATGACGAGTGTACCAGTACCATCTCATGTACGCCGGACTGCCCCATGAGCGCCTGCATTTATCCGAGTGCCTATGCTGAAACAAAGGACGATTGTCCTATGGACGAGGTCGCCCATGAGGATTCCACCCCGGCCTTCCAATCTGAATCTCTCTCGCCGGGGAATATCGACGATCATGAGGAGGGTGCCGTCTCATGTACCCCTGATTTGGCCGCGAGTGCCTGCATTGGTCAGAGTGCCGTTCCTGAAACAACCGACAACCATCCTATGGACGATGTCGCCCATGAGAATCCCACCAATGGCTTGCAATCCGTGTCTCCCTCGAGGGGGGGCACCATGAATCAAGCCATGAACCAGCGTATGAACCACGTCTTCATGTCCGAAATAAATACTGACTTCCCCCAGAAGGGTGAAGTGCCCGGAGGCAGGTTGTCGAACATCGTTCGGTCGACAATCTGACCTCAAACGACACATGTCTACCGTCCATAACATGACACCCGTCCCGTGCACAGAGCGCCATAAAACGTACACTCGCAAGGATAACATGATGAAGCATTACAGAGAGGCACACGGGGATCTGAATGATGCGAGTACGTCAGAATAGGGGTCTCGACTGCTTTCAGGTTCCTGCTATTAGTGGTTGTTGATCACTGAGGTGAGAAAGGCCACACAACATGTTCGTTTCACACTGACAAGGGTTCTATAGTCCATTGCTATTGTGGCTTGAGTACCACTCCGTTCTAACGCTTCTTCGCCGCTAAAACTCGCTTGTCAATGTGTTCTTTCACTTTCCCCGAATGCGGAACCACCCATTGTGATGAAGCTTTGAGGGTATCACTGGCAATAAGAAGGGAAATGAGCATGAATGACGGCCATAAGGATACTTGGTGTCACGATCTAGCGGGGTAGGATGAGAGAGAGAAACCAGCATGGTTACACATGAACACATGACTATCCCCAAACCTCTGATGGCGCTTTGATTGTTTCTCCTTTTCTATTTCTTGTTTATAAAGACAGACCCGATTGATTGCATGGGAGATCTTTGGATTCGACTGCGTGAAGACTGTGGGTTTATGTCATGTGGGGACTTATCTCTCTCTGTGACCTCGCTAGCTATGTCACTTGAACTAAGCTACAGTGAACGCCTGCCGGGGGCGTATCCTTCCACCAACAGCCAAAACCTTGCTGAGGGGCCAGGTTCTTCTTGTGACAAATGTAATGGCAAATCCATAAGCAAATCGGACGACCGATTACAACCAAGCTCGATATCTCCTAGCCTTCTAGCCATCAGGGCATCCATAAAAGTGAATTCCTACGCTACGATGCGGTATCCGGCTACGGCGTTCCCGGTGGGTTTTGAAGCCCAAATCGATGAGATCCACTTAACATATGATTTGCTACCCGGCTAAAATGGCACAAACACTCGGTGTTTTGGGGTGTAAGGCGGCACAATCTGGGGTCAAGCCGACTATTACAACATACAAGACAGTTTGATTTGCCTCGTACGTGAACTGGCTAGGAGATCTTGCTACAAATCTATACGACTTCTTATGACCCTTTGGCAACATGTTTAGTCACATTCAGATGGCACTTTTATGGCTACCAGGAATTTCACTACATCCAATAGCTAATCTTTTTGCAAATCATCGGTTAAACTGGGGGTAGGGAAGCATTGTAGAAAGAGCGTATGCCTGAGCAACGTTAATTCAGGCAGTCAATAGTATCCGATGATACGCGATGAGGAAAACCATCAAATACACAAACATGGTCACGTACAGTGAAACCTTCTGAACTGCGGTCCTGTGGGACTGACAAAGTTGTTCATAATGTTGAAGACGCTCGACATGATCCATCAGATCACGAGGGTGGCAGAACATCCCGTCCTTGTCCTCGTCTACGGACCAGTCATCAAATTCGTCTCTAGTTTCGAGTCAATCTGTCCTGCTCTGGAGGATCACGGATATGACACTAGGAGAATCGTCTTCCACGTACACTTGGTTTGTGAGGGTTATCTCGTCGCGGGGACACTCAATTGGATTGTTCTCGTCAATATTCAACTCCTCATCGTTCCGAGTAGGTGCCGAGCTCTTTCCTCTGTCCAGCTCGCTGGACTGATTTTCAGAGGCACCTTCAGCCGTCTCGTGAACCTCGGCGCTCTCTTTGCTTGAAGGGCTTGTCTGACTAAGGGCTGCAGTACCCAGCAGAGGTGCATACGGTTCGGGCTCGCTTTGTGGCAAGGATTGAGTAAGGGTACTGTGAGCATCGAAATACTGACTGCGGGAGTCAAACTCGGACTCTGGAGCGTACCATGTTACTGTGAACCTGTATGGATTAGGGCCCTCTTCAGTAGTGCTATACCAGGCATTCGGAGAAGGTTCCGAAGTTTTGCTGGTGTCCTGGATATGAGAAGGTGTCGACGAAGAGGCATTCATATCCTCTTGTTTAGCTGCGCTCTCCGGGGCGTTGGTGGCGGGCTCTTTCCCAGTAGAGCCAAGCTCCTCATCAGAATTTGGGCTATCAGTGGAAGGATACGCCCCGGGCAAGCGTTCACTGTGGCTTAGTTCGAACGGCATGGAAAGACAGCTCAAGTCATTAGAATAAGTCGGAGTTGATTCAAATACTGGCCAGGTAGATTTGGCTTTGAACAAAGGTTGAAGCAAAGATGATCCGTCCTCAGCACTCGATGCACCAGTAGTCTTGGACTCAGGTGAGTCCAGTTGTTCCGCCTGAGGGGCGGATGTATTACCATCTGCATTTTCACAGACATGGGTATCATCGAGCTGTAGCAGTGGTGTTGCAGAGTATACACTCGAAGCACCCGAATCCAGGGCCTCAGTTGACTCGTCTTGCGGCGCTTGAAGGCTGGATACATCTCCACCCTCTGTATTACGGGCTTGAGTTGTTGGATCATCCTCGCTTGGAGATTCGGAGGCGGTAGATGACTCGGAAGTGAGAAGCGCGCTGGAATCAGTCCGCTCCACCTGACAGCGTGGCATCCCAAATAAATCTCCAGCATCGACGTTGTGGACCGCTGCACCGCGGCGATGCCGGATTTGGGGGTATTGTGCTGCCTGTACCTGGTTGGTCAGAAACTGTTGAACATAGTCACTTTCTTCTGTCGTTGAGGATCTGAAGAGGCCAGGGCCCTCGGGCCGACCTGGTCCCGCATATGGCATGCGTGGAGGAGCAGCCTGGGTCAGAGAGAGGCGTGAGGGTTTAGAACTAACCGACAGAACAGATGTAGGTACTTGGCTCCTTGTTCCTCCCATATCAGAGGTTTGCTCGTTTGCAGGAGAATTGGTCTCGATTTCCGGAAGTGCATCGATCAGTGATGCCGTCCTAGGCCATCCTCCCGCATCACCGTGCTGAGTTTCAGCAAGGTCAGCGGTGGTGGTGGGCGGTGGTGCTGAAGCATTGTCGGTAGCAGTGGCACCAGGGGGGGCTTCTCCTTCGATTTGGATCAAAGGTTGGGACCCGTCACTTCCGAAATCATAGCCAGGAGTTGGTTTGTTCGCGGGACTTCCGTTCTCATCGGTAGCGCATTGGCCTTCGGTTGGACAATTGGTAGTAGGTGTGTTGGTCTCAGGGTTGTAAGGCGAGCCTTCAGACTTTCTGTCCCACAGTGGTAGAAACGAAGACATTTTCGCTTAAATATACAACTGGGCAGGTGAGGATATTCGTCAATGGGGTAGGGTTCTGCTTGCAGAGACTCGTAACTAGAAAGCGTATCACCGGTTGTAGCACTAGAAGAGTGTATCTTGCCAATTCGAGCAGACATGTAGGCTCTTATATAATTGGTGGCCCATGTACAATAAAAGGGTCATCGTGGGGCTTCTAGGAATTTTCCTTAAACAAATACCAGGTTGGGGGTATTCCCGATTCCAGATATACGTGAGGTTGGTATGTTCCTTAGGGTAACGAGCAAACTGAGATTCGATGATTCTTACGTCTATTGAAGCTATATTTACATTGGAAGGAAATGTAGTACGATTCTGCCACGTCACGAAATACCCACCCCGTTGTAATCACTATTCGGGAAGATACTGAAGCTTAATATAGGTAATTACCAGCATAAACGCATGTCTAAGAAGTAAGCTCCAATTTTTTGGAAGATCTACTCACTGTGCGCTATTATTTGACAAGAGCATACTATCACATCACACGCCGGTATAATTACTCTCGCCCTTTTTAGACACCTCGAATAGTCAGAATCCGAGTGACATGTTTTTGAAGATACGTTGCAGACGAACCTGTTCACAAGGTTGGTGAGATAGTCCGCATTGACATTTATCGGGCGGGAAGTACCTCCTATCAGGGCCATCTGCTTAAGGTTCATCTGATGGATATGCCGAACATGGGAGATAACAATTTATATTGAGACAATTAGCCAATGACCAATACACGGTGTGTCTTAAACTCAGAGTCCAAATTCGACACTACTAACAATGGAGATCTGGGCGCGCGCTACACGGAACTATAGGGCTGATGCCATACAAAACATACATTTAATGAGAATTATCATTTATTTGGTAGTCAGTGCGATTGTGACTAATTCTCTAGTCTTCTTCCATCAATTCTTCCTATTTTCCGTTTCCCGAGTAGGTCTGGGTCCACTCCAACTAGCAAGCAATTTAGAGAGGCAGGGAACCCGAAACAATCGACCAACAATCCAAGACTTATGACATCTACTCAACCTGGGAATAGAATGCGAAAGAATTTATTATCAATTCTCTAGAGCCTTTCAGACACTAAACCTGCAAACTTCATGCCTGTGATGATAGTAGTCATGCAGCCCCTTCTCGAAACTGCTGCTAAAAGCATCGCGACAGATCCGACAGACACAATTTTCCGGGTAGTTGTGATCGAGTTGAAAATGATCGTCCGCTTCCTCTTCATCGTCGAACACCCTGTCACAGATTCTAACTAAGCATCTGATTTTTGCAAGGGGAGTGGTCAACAAAAGATCATCAGGACTTATTCCACCGTTTCTTGCTTCTATCTCCTCTCGATAAGAATGACGCTGGTAAGCGGGTTTTGGGTCACGCAGCATGTTGAGATCGGGCAGCTGTTGGGACTGACGGATGCCGCCATGCATTATCTTTGCTTGTGGAGAAAATTGCCCGAATTGGGACATCGGCTGTAATGAGTGTTGGGGAAGATTGTCAGCCTGGAGCTGTGCTGTCACTCCAAAGTTTGTGTGACCCTGTTCAGCTGCCGGGACAACAGTATTCCACTGTGTGGCAGGGATAGGAGAACCAAAGCCATCTGAGAGCGCAGTGATATCCATTAGCTGTGGTTCATTGGGGAGACAGAGATGAGCATCGTCGGCGTTTTGCTCAATAGGATCCAAACCAATCATAACATTGGTCGAAGCAGGTACTCCTCTCGCTAGTGTCGCGGTGCATGCTCTGGTGCTGCCAGGAGACGCTATGGAAGAGCGACGATCGGCAGACTCTCCATGGTTAACACCAACGGTATGAGCAATTCCTCTTCCATCCATTTCGTTTGTATTGACTGGCAATAGCCCTATTTCGAGATACTGGTAGATGAACAGGTATAGAGTTGACCAAGTTAGAAGGTATATACTCAGGTAGATTGGATGTTTTTATATGTCTCACAATCTCCCTACGAGGCTATAGTGCTAACAAGGCTTATCCAGAAAGGCGCATCTGGACAGTTAGGTGCTATTACACCAAGGCTCATGTGAAGAACATTTGGGTTTTACTCGGTTTCACCCGACTTCTGATATTGCATTCGAAGACCCAATCCAGCAGCGCTGTTGCTGAGTTTGGACAATGCCGGAAAGCCAGCCTTGCCTTCATATTAGCGTAGCCCACCTATCTCTGTATCTAATCCCAGCATAATGGACATTCTTAGTGGCCGAATTCCCCAGTGGTAGGATGTGGGAAATTCCTTTGTCGCCTTCCACGGCATTCCAGTCTGCGCTTATCCAAAAATCAGCCCAAGAATCATTACTGGTATGTTCCAAAGTTCGGACCAGTGGGTAAAAATGATCACGCCTTTCGATGCTGTCCTTCGGGTTTCTTGTTGCCAAGCCGTGAGGCGTGTAGTCATGACTCCTGATGTTATGGCAGAACCCTTGTTATACTTCTTATCACATAGCCTATTATGCGTAGTCAATAATGTTTTCATTGCCTGCAATTCTTAGTATTCTGGAGGTCCCAGCATCGCCACAGAAAGTTACCGGAAGACACGACTACTTTGGGGGTCTCCTAAGAGTACCAAATTGGGAAGGATCAGGCTGCAAATTTGACTCTCAGTGTGGAAACGTGATAGAAGCGTATATGGTGCAAGGACCCTCAGACGGATAGTGCCGGGGGCTAAAGCATCCAAAAAGCCTTTGCACGTATTCACGGGGCACTCGATGAACACAAAGCCCTGGCTTCGTTTACCTAAAACTGTCCTGGACATCCAACCATCAACGGCGGGTGGTCCCGACTGCTCCTTACCTGAATGGTCACGGAGGGAAGGATTTGGCGAGAGACAATCAAACCTCCAAATCCCCTGAGCGAATATTGACCTCAGACACCCCATGCCCAGACTTCCACTTCTCGTTTAATCTCTTGGCATTGTTATCTGATCTGCAGTGCGATTTCCCCATGAGTGTGATGTGTCCGTGTCCCGATTCTCGGCATCGGCGGTCGGAGATTAGATTGTGAATCAGCACCGAATCCCTGAAACAGGAATTTATGCAGCCTCGTACCCAAGCGAACGCGAAAAATAGGGAATAGGCTATATGAAATTGAATTGCCGTGTGTCTGGCCAATTGGACCCTGAAAAAGATTAGATGAAAGCACCATGTGCTGTAGCATAAGCAGACATCAGTCGCTTTGACCGACCGATGTGTGGCACTTGTTTGCTGCCTGAGGCATACATTCAAATTTTCATCTTGCATGACATCACACGTTAACCGATGAATAGATGCAGAATTGGACCAGTAATGCGAAGTACTTACCCTTGCAAGCCCAAGCCTGCATCTGTTAATGGGTTAAAGTGAGCCCATTCAGGCACTGGCTATTCTTTCTCTCATATAACCGGAGGTACACACGATCGGAAGCCGAGATACGCGAAAAGGTCGGGTTATATATCAATAGATCAGGATATTGCTGTCAATATAGAAAACTAACCAGCCCAATCTAGAGAAGTTCGCCGTGACAAAATGTAGTCGCATGGCAGATTATTGCAGACTATCACCGCTTGCTAGGGAAATGTACCAGCAAAAAGAGTGAAACTTTGAATCGCAATATTTTGAATCGTCCTTGATAATCCCCAAATCTCTGATTGTATATATATACCCGGCTGCTGGAAGAGGTACTTCTGGGCCAATGGGTGTCTATTGCTTACTCTAAGATCGCTTATTGGTGTATCTAGGATAAAGAGACACGCCTTCCTGATAGTTGAATGACCATTCTAATTCTTTCCTCCATTGATCGCAAAGCCATGATTATGGTGGTCTTGTTGCGACCGGCTATCCGTTGAATTCGTTTGATAACCTTTATCCCTGCGAGGATGAGCCACAGACGACGCGTCAGGTTTGGTCCACAAAACAACCCATTTTACTAGTCCGGTGTTGTGATAAAAAACTGTTCTGACGACGAAGGATTCTTGGTATATTAAGAGAGCCTCTTGGGCTGCTCGGTGTTCATTGGTCGTCGAAAGCTTTCAAGCTCCTGTGCTGCAGGTTATCTTGAATGATCTGGACTTTAATTGGCGCGCAAAACAGTTACCCCGAGCCATTCCGCCCGTAGATAAGAATTCATACGAATTACCGTGGATTTATTAGGCTGCAGCAAAACTATCACTGACTCATCACTGTGGTGATATATTGATACACATAAGAACTCTTAACTTCGTTCTGTGCTATCTGTCTGTCGCATTTTCTTGAATCGAAAATACTTTACAAGATGGCTTCAGAAGCACAGTCAATTAGCTCTCTAGAGCAGGGAGATGACGTCATCTCCTGCGAAGAGAATGACTACGAAATGGACCAGCACAAATTTCTCAGACATTGAACATATTGCATCCGCTCGGATTTCGCTTCCATGTCTAGTGTACCGGCGACTTGGGAGGATGGCCATCCAAAACAATGGGGACAGGAGGAAGCGAAAATCTTCCTCGAAAGACGAATAGGGATAACAAAGCTTTGCTGCAGACCATGGGGAAACCGGCTCCATGCATTGTTTTCCAGGCGATTTGGATTCATTTGGAAGCCAAGCTTTCAGCCCCGACGGTAAAAGCATGGTTTATATTATCTAAAATATGACAAGTGATTATAACACTTACCAATGCTGCTATTCCCCCTGACTCACTCTCTGGAATGTGGATAACAGATTAATTTAATATCAGCTACACAGTCACACCGACTGTGCTATCTGGATTAGTATCAGCCCGGATAATTTTCTTACTACTTCTATATCATGGGATAGTACAGCACAGATTTAGGATGTTCTATCCAACAGATTAATTCATATTATCAGACCCTTGGGCGGCTAGCGTTGGTGTGGTACCTTCTTATCAGACTCTAAATTTTAGCTATTAGCCAAGGCAGCGAAAACCTGATTTAAATTTACGATATTAATACCGCGTAGTAGGTCTCATATATTAAAATGCCTATATAATATCACTCCATGTCCTAGAGTCTGGATAGTAGCTTTTTGGCCGGCGGACTTGAGATCAGTATAATCTGCCTGTAGGACCTGTACACGAGGATAGAGAAAATAATAATAGTCTCTAAAATTTGATAATTTCATGATGCAAGAACTTACGATGATTACGGGTGTGCAGTTTGTCGGTGATAAATTAATTTTTCAAATACTTAAGGGGACGGTTGAGATATATAATGTCAAGCAATTTACTTGGGGACCGGATAACAAGATCAGCAGGTATCCTCGCGGAGAAATAATCTACTTGAGTAATTTCAAGCTTCTCATCATTCCCGATGTTGACCGAACTTTACGTTTCTGGAGGCTGTAGGCGGTATCAAAGTATACAAGTCAGATGTTGTTACATTCTTGCTGGTTCGAAGGCGGACACCGTCATCCCGATAGATATATCTCCGCAGCAGCGTAATAGGGCATCTGGTATATCAGAAATATGAATGCGAAAAATAGAAGTACTATGCTGATAGAATTGCACGAGCACATGTATCTTTTGAGGTGGATTTCTCATCCGGCTGTTTGTTGTCTAAACGATAAAAGTCATTCGCATCATATCCCTGAACAAGCTAACCAAGATTAATCGTGTCTCAAGTACCGGTTTGCACAGGGACGTACTAATTGAGGGTTAAAAGTGTGGCAGAAAGTTTTGTCGCACAACTTCCTTCGTGTTGATTTGCACTTACGGCTTGTCGGGCATCATGACGCTGAATCGCCATAGAAAACTATGAAAGGTATCATGCAACTGTGGGAAAAGCTCACCTGCACATTTAGCAGAGCCCTGTGAGCAGACAGATATGGTTACTTTTGAACACAAGTGCATGTTGTTCTGTTCTGACTGACACCAGTATGATCTTGGGTCAATACGACAGTTATTTATAGAAACCAGAAATATCATGAGACCTTTTCAAAGTGAATGGAAGGCTCTCCAGTGACGTTCGGTGCCAGAAAATTGAATGAAGGATGAGGCGAAACAGTCGCGGGTGGCTGCAAATGCATGTTGGTTGTTGCCTGTGGGGAAGACGCGGGTGGAAGAAGGTTATTCACCCGCACCCGCACTAATCCCTCGGCGAAGCAGCTAGAAAACTAACCCCGGCAGCGTGAACGCAACTGTTGCCTCACTCCGACGATCGATTGCCAGAAGCCATCCACAACCAGAGCAGTCTGTTGGCATATAACGCGTCAGAAACATCAGTTGTAAGAAGTTTCGAGGGCAAAGTCTGTTGAAACAAAGCATCGAGTGGATCCACGAGAGCGCAGATCATTGCGTCATCAGCGCACTTGAATTTGAGCCGTCCTTTCAAGGGCCGAGGAATTCAAAGCAGGACCACATTTATCCCCGAAGTGTGAGGACCGAAAAGGTCTGATTACACTCCTAGTTTCATGAGTTGCTAGGTGATAGTAGCCTTTTTCAGCAGGTATCGTCGACTCAATCCCGGGTGCCTGACTATCATCGTTTCCGCTGTTTCGCGTTTCTTGACTCCCGTTTTGCTGCTCATGACTGAGCCAGACACAATAATCTAGAATGGTCGGTGAAAGTTGATCACGAGAGATAGATGGCAGTAGAGTTTGGAAAAAGTAGCATGATGTTCGCTGTCAGAATATTATATTTTGTAGCCCTTCTTCACTTGCAGGTAGCGATCACGCCGTGTACCGAAACTTGTCCAGTGACGGAGGTTAAACCTATTTTGTCTCACACCACGGCTGCCAAATAGTGACGTTAGTCACATTTGACCCTGTGCTTATCGCAAGGACAATCTCGATCACTTCAATATGGCAAACGAGATGTCTGCTGCAATTCTAGGCAGCGCAATTAAACCTTAAT